AAATTTTGCCCCCCCCCCCCCCCCCCCAAAAAAAAAGTTAATACGCAATAAAGCCCTCCCGGTATTGATTACATCCCTGCCACTGTTCCTCAGCGGCGCGGTGAGTCTGAACCGTCTTTAAGTGAGATGTAACATGTGATGGAGGCAGAAACTTCCAGTGATAAGAAGATTTTGGGGTTTTTTAGTTTGGGTTTTTTTTTTTTTCCCGTGAGGTTGGACACGGAGGGGTCACGACAAGACCAGGCTGCCGGCCCTCCCTGCCGGGAGCTAATTGATGGCTCATTAGGGAGGTGGGTGCCTCCAGGTAGGGCTAAATCAGACGGTGCACCTTGCAGTTTGTTTCTTCACCTGAAAATCACCTTTCCCTTCACCCCCAAAACTTGGAGACCTCCTCCGAGTGTGGACGTTTGGGAAGGCAGTCCTCTTTTTTTGTTGTTGTTGGGGGGTTTGTCACTATTTTATTTTATTTTTTTCCCCGGTGGCTAAGCTGCAAACGGAGCAGGGACAGAACCGCAGACGCCCGTTGCGCTTTATATTAACTTTCCCCTTCGCCAGGCCCGTTCCTCTCCAGCTGCTAGCTGGGGTACAGCAGCAATTCCCACGTCTGTCTGTCTGTCTGTCTGCTGGCCTGGGCTGCGTCTTACCTCCGTCCCCATCCCTTCCCCCAATCTCCAGCCAAACAAAGGTGGGCGACGCTTTTTTTTTGCCTTTTTTTTCTTTTCTTTTTTTTTTTCCGCTCTCCAAGGCAGTTGGTGAGCAGCTTTCCTGAAACAATAACTCTCTTATTGAGAACAAATGTTGACATTTGCAGGGAGCGAGGAAAAAAAAAAAAAAAAAAAGCAGCCCAGGAAGTGCAAAGTGGAAAGCGACCCTCTTCCTATTTGACGACAGAAGCAATTCCTGCGGGATCCCACCTGAGATTAAAGCCTGAATTTCAATAAATCAGCTCTAATGAAACCTCTGGCCCCGAAGAGGGGAGGGTTTGTCTTCCCCGCTCCGAAACGAGCCCAGAAAAGAGGGGAGGGTGTAAATATAGAAAGGGGTGTGAGGTTTTAATCCCAGCGGGCTGATTAGCATCGTTATGAAATAAACCGTACGCAAAGTGATGCATTTTAGCGTTCATCCCTCTTTCTTGCTACACTGAAATAATCACGTTGTTTGTGCCAACAATCTAGCAAGGCTACGCTTTCCTCCTGCTTTCAATTGTGATTATTAAATCTCGAACGACGTTGAATATGCAGTTCTTGGCCATTAATTTCTTGTTTAAAAAAAAAAAAAGAAGTTTATTTGCCAAATCGTTTGGGTGTCGCCCATCTGCATCCATGAACCGTTCGCGAATTTCTCAGAGGATGAGAGAAGTCCATTGGGTTTTACATACATAGTGAATACTTAAAAGCGAGTTTTCCAAGTCTTTCTACTTTTCTTTCCAGAAAGAAATCCAGGTCTAAATACTAGCAAGGGTGGGTAAATTATGGAAATCTTTTATAAGTCTTTGGGCGTATAAACATCAAAGGAATGTCGTTAGCCTTTTTTAATCTCTGCCACAGCTTTTGGTTTTTACCAATTGAAATGTACACGTTGTGTCCAACAGAGACCTGGAACATAAGATGTGGGTGGTGGGGGCGGATGGAGCAGGAGCAAGAGTGGGGAAAAGAAAGTTCCGGCGTCTCCCCTGACATAAAAAATCAATAAAATCTTCCTAAAGCCCACGGTGAAGACGGTCGAGGGTGACCACGGTAAATATTTGCAGCCATATCCTATGCTAAATCGGAGGGAAAAAAACTGAATTACTTCTTAGCTGTTTGCCTAATCGTACTACAAGCTGCACGCAGCTACAATTGCATTTTACCTCAATGAAAACCAGGCTGGTACAGGAGCAGAGAAGCATCATTCTACAAACAACATAAGAAGATGAGTAGGCCTCCAGCTGCAAAGATCTTCAGCGGTTTATATTTAGCTGGATGGATCCCAGAGTTTTCCAGCATTACGATAGGAATTGCTGCCCTATCAGCTGAAAACCACACGCGTTTTCTCAATCACGCAGACGTCTTTAGAGGGGTAAAATACGAAGGGGGGGTGCAGGGGAAGATGGAGCATGGGAATGGCGTATACGTGTTTAAGAAAACCAGCTTCCTTTCCCCCTCTTTAATATAATCACAACCTATTTCCTGACTCCAGGCTGGCACGGCTCTTTATCCAGTTAACATTCCCAAGGCTGATGCCTGAAGTATCTAAGATCACTTTCAAATGCCCTTTCTAACAAGACCTGAGCAAGAGGCCACTAATTTTCACTGAACAAAAAGCCACTGGAGAGAGATCCGTTTGTCAATATCAACTGGTCCAGCAATTTCCCATCTTCAGACACATCGGCCTATCTGAGCTGGCAGATGTTTAGACAAGATTTTATAAATTGTTCAATATCAGACCATAATGAACCCCAACTGACCATTCCAAAGCAGCTAAAAGCATTCAGGATCTCCCCTGCTGGGATCTAATAATGCTCTCACGCTGGAACATTATTAATCATGGAATAAAATAGATGAGCCTCTTGAAAAATAAGTGTATGATTGATTAAAGGGCAATCTAAGAAGCTATTATTCTTGTTTTATAACCGTAAGTTATATTCACTCAATTTATCTTTTGGGGAAAATAAATGATTGTTCGTTTCTTTTCTGAAATTATATTATATGAGGATTCCCATTATTTTACTAAAAATTAAAATGATTAGTTAGCTGATTTTATGAGCCCAGTCAAAGTGGATTTCCAACGAGACTGTAAAGATACGGTTTACTGAGATAAAGAAAAAGGGGGGGGGGGGGAATCATAAAAAGCAGGAATTTGACTTTTTTATCTTTTTTTTTTTTTAAAGTCTTTGCGTATTTTAGCCAGAAGCAGAAACAAAGAAATTAGAAATAAGCCGTAGTTGATTATAAATCTTTTTTTTTTCCCTAGAAATGGTGGATTTAAAGATTGTTAACTCAAATAAAGAGCTACTTCACACCCAATATAAATAGTTTATAAGAAACATGCATGTATTCACATCACTCTCTCTACGCATATGCATGTATATATACAAATAAGTATTTGCACACATGTGTGTATTTAAAGCTTAAGTATAACGGAACGACCCAGAAGGAATTAATTTATGCAAAGCATATCTTTGCAGCATATTTAAATTGCTTACTCATTTTATGGTCTAGGCTCTACCAGTGAAATTACAACTTTCGTCATTTTCTAAATAATAGATTATTATTTGGGGGGAAATGAACGAAAAACACCATATTGTTGCAGACTAGTCTGTTTTTATTTACAATTAGAGATATAAATTAGTAAAGAATTCTCGTTAAACAACCAAAGATTGTATAACCATCAACGTTTCAAATAAAAACCAGGCAAAATTTATTTACAAAAAGTTCAGATTCCATTGCAATACAACTTGCATAAATTACTAGAAGCTTTATATCGTTACAAAAATAAATATCAAATTTGTTTCCACTTTGTAAGGACTCAAGTTCTCCAATCACGTCTTTATTATCTCTACTGTATACATCTTTTACAAATAAATTTTACAATAAATCCTATCACACCTATCGTATATATACCGTGGCAATGAAGTGATCAATTCAAGATATCCTGAGAAAAACAGATCTGTTTTCAAAAGTCACACATACATTGGGGAAACTATACTATACCAGCAAACTCACATATGTCCAACAAAATTCTGGTTTAATAATTAGAGTCTGAAGATTTAATAGTGCTCTGTGGTCTTCTTTTATACAGTGGCACAAGATGTGATCCGGATTTAGAGATTTGTTATATATATTAGCTCGGGGAGAGATGATGGCTTGCTGACTTTTTTCAAAGCAATTGTGACACCTACCTGTGGACCAAGGAAAAAACCAGATCATCCAAAAATCCTTCAATTACACTCTAACACCATTAAAAGGGGGTAGGGGGGGGGAGGAAAGGAAGTAAGGCAAAATTCTTACTCGCCTAATTTCTTCTAACAAAAGAATTAGTTGAAAAAAATATCGGCAAGGCGATTTGTTGTTGTTGTTGTTTATTTAGCCCTAAACAGCGGAGGTATTAAAAGTGCCATCGCTATCTAGGCAAGAGGCAATTCACAGATAACATACCCTGCTTAAGATGCATGTCGGTCTCTAATAATTGTCCCTTTTTTATTTTAAATACACGGTCACTGCGTGAAGCCTCACTCGGAACGTGCAATTTTAGCACTGCCACGTGAGCACAAGCACTTTGTTTTTAAACAACAATAGCTTCAAAGATTTTTTTTTTTTCCTAAAGCTTTCTTTCCGTAACATTTAAATAGCCCTTACGGCTTTGCCTTACACAAGCGAAGAGTATGCAAGGTGAGGGAACTGCCTAACCTGACTTTAAAAGTAAGACAAACCCGCGAAAGAGAAGTCGTAATGAGAGGGTTTAAAAAACAAAAACAAAAACAAAAACAAAAAAACCCCCCAAATAACAGCAGAAAAGTGTGTCTTACTTCGTAATCAGACTCTCAAGTAATGAAGCAAGAAATTAATGTTCAGCAAGTCTAGAACTGTGCAGCGTGTCTTAGACCTGATGCCAAATGATCAGTGTAATAGAAAATGTTCTCACTTACTTGCATTGCTGTGTGATTGCACTTCTATAGGTATGGTTGTACTCCTACTGTGCAGACTTCAGTGGGATCTGTCAAAATATAACCGTCAGTTAGTCACAGGACACAGCCAGCTAACTAGATTATACAGCGTGGGTAGGTCCCAACCCTCACTCGCGCAGAATTCGTAGCCACGTCGTTTAAAAGGCTGGCCAATGTTTTATAATTGCCCCTACCTCGAGTGTTTTGTCAGAAGAAGCTGACAATTATATTAGTGCAAAACTTCTTCTAAACTCCCCCCCCCCCAAAAAAAAAAACCCCAAACCAAACCCAGTGAAAAATGTCACGCTCCACGGAATTTCACGTCCAAGGTCAGCAATCAGCTGAACCCAAAGCTGCAAAAAAACCCGTGAGGATACTGGAAACAAAGAGAGCAAAGCCAGTTTGTCTAAAAAAATATCAAATAATAAAAAAAGTAATTTACAGGCAATGACACCGGTGCTCTCTGGCTATCTTTGTGCGGAGCTTTCCTTTAAAAAAATGACTTTTACAAGCTGCGCCTGCAGCCTGCCAGCCTGACCTACGAGCCTCCTTTTACATCCCCTCGCTCGGTTCTCAGAGGCAGGTGTCGACGGGACGGCGGCAGGCCGGTGTTTTAATCCCCAGGTTACCACTATCGCCCGTCGCGACTGGGTGGCAGCGGTGACAGTGTTTTCTCCAGAGACGGTTTCGGGATTTACGGCGTCTAAAGGACCGGGACGGGTCGGGGAAGGAGGGCGAGGGAGGAACGGGGGGGGAGAAAGCGGCAAAACCAAGTCACCTACCTTTCTTAGAGTCATAACTAGAGGGCCTGTAATGTTGTTCTAGCTGGTTAGTGATGGTTTTCAAAGAGTCACTGCTCTGCTTGTGGACAGAGCTGGCGTTTAGGACAGTCTGACTTAGTCCCTCGTTTGAAGCCACTGCCGCGGAGTTGTATCTCAGGATTCCCTGGCTCTGGAGCGCGTTAAAGTTCCCATAGTTTGTATAATTGCTATAAAAAGGTGAGGTGTAATAAATATGCCTCCCCAGGAGGGAGGAGGGCGAGTAGGCAGCGCTGTGCGGGGCGGAGGCGGGGGGGGCCGAGGAGAGCGCCGCAGCCTGGCCCCCTTGCCCCAGGCTCTGGCTTTTGAGGTCCGAGGTGGCGATTTCGGCCAACGACCAGAGTTTGGGTTTACTGGCCGGCGTCGGGGGCCCGGGGGAGGCTCGACCCCCCAGCGCCGCCTTGCTGGCGCTGCGGGCGGCGTCGGCGTGCGGGTGGCCGAGGAGCGGAGCCTCCACGGCGGCCAGCGGCGAGGAGGTGGCCGGCTTGGCCGGCGGGTCGCGCTCCCCACCGCCTCCCCCGTCGTCTTCCTCGATGTCCTCCTCCTCCTCGTCTTCCTCCTCCTCCTCTTCCTCCTCCTCCTCCTCCTCCTCGACGTCCTCGTACTTGTCCTTGCACTCCGAGCCCGACTCGCAGAGGGGGTCGCCCGCTCGGCAGGGCAGCTTCTCGCCGTCCGATTCGGCCGAGCAGGAGTGGTCCGTCAGCGAGTCCACTTGCAAGCTGATCCCTGCGTGGGGCCGCCGGGCACAGAAAGGCAGAGTCAGGCCCCGGGGAGGGGGGGGAGAAGCGGAGAAGGGGGGGAGAAGCGGAGAACGGGGGGGAGAAGCGGAGAACGGGGGCGAGAAACGAGCACGGCCACCCCCGCCGCGGCGGGGAAGGGAGACGCCAGCCATCCCGGTGGTTTCCCTACGATCCCCGTTCCCGGGAGCAGCCCTCCCCCCGGGCTGGCTCCCCCGCGGC